AAAAATTATCGCCATAACAAATTGTTATTAATAAATAATGTTCTAAATATTTAAACATAATTTTGTGAGAAATAATTACATCATTTATCAATTGTAATAACCTAAATATCTTAGAAGCACCCTTCTAAGTGTGGCATGAAATTATCTCATAAAATAGACTATTAAAATGTAAATTTACCCGAATCCTAAGCTGTCTACACAAACCTTATAATAAAACAGAACATCTGTTCTATACTGAGTAGGTATTGTTAAACGAGTAGGTCAACGCGCTACGTGTCTCCACAATAATTTTATTAATATTACCCCCGGAAGCCTGTCACGCGCGTAACCGCCGCTCGTATATCTTCAGAGACTGAGAAAAAATATGATATATTGAGAGAACGAGAGACGTAAGAGCTTTTCTTAGCTTCCCTTCGCGGATTTTAGCGTTTTTTTAGTGTCCTTAAACTCCGTAGTTACCTCGCAAGTGAAAAAGTTTGTATCCCGATGATAGGGTAATTCAATACCATTGAATACAATATTTAACTTTAAGACCAATAATAAAAACTATCTAAAATACAAAGAAAGTATTCAAACAATAAGTATTATTCATTTAATTATTCATATTTATATACTCTGATATCTCGCAGTAAATTATATAGTGAATATTTCTGTGTAACATAGAAGTCGTAGTTGTTACTCATGGTTCTTGAAGAATTTACTCGGGGATGATTTATTACTTAGCATATTTACTTAGCGACGATATTATAATAATTTATGTATAAATTGTAATAATATATTTACTGTTTCAAGAGCGTTTTTTATTAAAAATATATGATTTTTTTTTTAAATGTATTCTTTTTACCATTACTTAACTTCTGTTTATTAATGGCTTAAAACTCTAAACTATCAACCGAAACAAATAGGAAAAATCGATACCACTCGTTCTTAGTTCATTTTGTAACATAATATGACAACCATTTTCCTTCAATTACATTAATAGAACTTTTATAACGTAGATAAATCTGTCCTATATGTCCATCGCAATTAATTATGCATTAGCAAAATTGTAGATACTTAAAGCCACACGTAGGCAAATTATACCAGTAACTCACATACGCCACAAAACCACTGCATATCGTGACACATAGCTACCAGTCATAAGGCCACATTCGGCACCACAATAATGAGTGGCGCAATTCTTTAGTGCCCTCCAACACGACACAATCTGCGGGCACGTTATAGCCCACCATTACACAAGCGAACCCCCAATCTAATATAATTTATATTTCCGATACATTATCCGCGACATTCGCCGTCGTAACTGTAAGCATTGTCAGAACAGGTTTATTGTGAAATTATTCCAGCACAAACGCGGCGGTGACATCGAAATAAAGGGGCGGGACCGATTTGGAATTTCATTTCTGTGCTTATCTTAATGTGAGTAGGCGTTGTGTCGTACTTCGTAGGATTTCTGGTTTCCTTTTATTTTCGTTGGGCCTTTTACGTAGAAGTTTTGGCTGGTTTATATGTTTTGTGTGCTTTGTGGAACTTTTGTAATGTAGTTTGCTTACAGTACACGCCCAACGTTAAAATTACATCCTTGATGTTATTATGCTTAGTGGCTTTGAACGTAAACACATAAAGTTAGACCTATGAAGCATACAACTAATACGTACCTTTTAATGTAAAAGTTTGTAAACTTACTTGGTCTTCTGTTTCTCTGAATGCTTCCATATATATGTTTCTTCATTTCAGTTTACATTTAGTATTTCCAAAGAAAAAATAAATATTTCATACATATAATTGCATGACTGTTGACGCTAACAATTTTAACGCTGATATTCTTAGACTCTTCGATTGTTCGTTTGATATGTGATAGATCGAAAAAGCATATAAGACATCCGATTTTCAATTTGATCTGATTCTGGATTGAGGTATCATGAAAGAGAAGCTCTTTAATCTTATTTATTTCGTTAAAGTATTGCCAAGGAGTAATATTTAAATTTCGGTCAATCAAATCGCTGCCAATTTCTAAACATACCTACTTTAAGCAGATTTGTTTTAATATATAGATAAAATATTAAAACACAAATATTGACTAAATAATGCCGTTTATATCAAAGTTTATGAATTACAAAACAATTTAATATTTCTTTTTTTATTTACCTAAGATTTCATACTGTGACATTGCCCTCATGTCCTTTCGCTATACCCTTAGGCTGACGACGTACCTACGTCGAATATTTTTTATACATATTTATGTCCCATTATGTTCTCAGTAAATACTGAGATACTTTTAACTTCATCAGGTTAGTTTCAATTCTACTATGAACAATTCTCTTTTTTTAATATCTTTAAAAAAATATCATCATCATCATTTGCTTTTCCTTACCTACCTTAAATAACCTTAAATTTGAGATTGACATATTTTCTTTTATCTCTATTCGCATACGTTGTTCACTTCCTGTTTTGCCATGTCACTTTTCTCAGCTTATCTATCTCATTTTAGCCTTCCTTTTATAAACAACCACACTATACATAACACTTTTTTTAACTATTGTCTTCATGCATATATTTACATATCATTACAGTACATTTACTCGAATCTAGACTGTTTAATATAGTCCTCTCTCTTCTAAATTATACCTATAAGAAAACAATACTTCTAAAGAAAAAAACCAATTTAAATCTGCCGATATAAAAAAATATGAGCATCTCTATATTTTATATAAGAGTTTCAATTACTATGTTACAGTGCAAATATTCAGTATCGTACGTCAATATGCTTTTAATGAAAGTCTAATATCGTCTCTATTATCATATTAATAACGTATCTCATTAGGGGTTGCCATTGTAAACAGTTTATCTAATTAGGTATGCATCGTATACTAAAACTTTGATTAATCATCATTACATTCAGTTCACATTGATTGCCATTGTTATAAGTCAACAAGGGTAAAATTAAATTATACAAGGTAAACAAGCCGATTGTGTGGTAATTTTCATGTATCTATAAACCAGTAACATCATTCATCACGCTATTTCTGCGTACGTTATATGTAAAATTTTGGCCATCACATAATTAGAGGACGCAACCAACCAGATATATTGTAACTGTCTGCAATTAAATTAAAATCAGTAGAATGCGACTCCAGAATTTTCAAACACATCTTAATTATTATAATAGTAATCACAAGTTTAAATCATTAAATCTATATTATATTATATAGAAAGAGATCATATTAATAACTTAAGAATTTTTGCCTATATGTTGACTTATATTTATTAATATATATTATATATTTATAATAATTAAGTATAAATAAAAAAAAATATTTTTTGTATAAATTTCATAATAATTCTGCCACTAACAAAAGTTTAAATCAGAGACAGACATATAGAAAGTGTCTGCTTTATTACATAAAAAAATATATACAGAGAAAACATAATAAAGATAGAAACAAAGAATAGTACGACCTATATAGATAACAATCATGATTATATCTTTACTATCCGCATTTTAAAGTAAATAAAATTGATAATCGACTGACACCTCAAGACAATGTAATCCATCTTTATTATAGTCTTCACACTGAGTAAATTGAAAATTCTTCCTAAGTATGACTGATGATGCACATTACTTGGCCCCAACATGGTGTGACAGTTTTTCCCGCGAAGAAAAGAGGATTATTTCGTGCGGTGAGGGAAACGAAACGTTTTCATATTACGCCTATTTATATTCATGCGCCCTTTATCGCCCAAGGAAAAGAAAGCTAAGAATCATAACCGTGTATACAAAGATACAATATTATTCACTTAGACGTTTTTGTTATTTTGTGGAATACAAATTCAGTAGGTAATGGAACCATAATGTAGTTATGTAGCCGCCACTTAATTTACAGCTCTCTTATTAAATTTGAAATGAATAGAATAAAGAATGAATAGTAATTATAGTGAGTCGGGTATCACTATCATTGTTATAGTGTAGTCGTATTTTATTTATTTTTCTTACATATAATATTTTTTTACAGTCAAAGTAAATAAATTAGTGGGTAATAGTTTATGTGCTATATGTATATGCTTATCAAATCTTATTTAGGAATTATGAAGTCAAGTATATGGATCGAATAACAATATGTGTATTAATTAAAAAAAATCTTGTAGTCTAGTGGTTTACTATCCTACTTATACACGAAAGAGCCAAAAGAGATAGAGTTCAAATTTATCCGAGAAATCAAATAAAAACTTTGTGTTTCAATTTATGTTTATGACTGTCTTTGGTAAAAATAAACTCGATATCAAATAAAAAAACGCTATGTCCGTAGACTCGTGAAATGTGGGTATCTCAATTATGAATAATATGTATGTATCTATTGGTATATATTATATTTGATATTGTATATATATATATATTATATCTTAATAATCATAAAATTTCTGATAAAAATTGTTCTTACTGTTCATTTATTGTAAATGATTAAGTAGATAAATTTGCTGAGGCATAGTTATGTAAGTAGGTACTTCCAGATACTGTAATATCTATGGCCGATGATTACAGAGACAAAGCTTGTTACCCAAGAGTCTCTAGAGCGTAAAGCATAAATGTATTGTGTCGACGATTTGGCGAACCGAAATTAGTTTGCCGTCAGTTATACTCAAGAGTTTATATAAGTATAAGTTAGTGTAAGACTTGTCTTATTGCAACAGGATAAACTAATACAATTTATATGAAATGTAGTATAATATAGAATATTTTAAATACTATTAACGAAATATGTCAATTACATTTTAATAATAGCTAGTATCCAATGTTGAAGACTATGTTCGTTTGTAAAATTTGCAAAATGTACATAAATAATAACCATACCAATAAAGCATACCATTCAAACTAACAGTCAGTAGCAGTAGATATTAATAAAATGGATCAATTTTCCGAAGAAGCAAAAAAAATATCGATAATATTGTACTGTTTTAAACATATTTCATTTTCTTCATATAGTTAATTTCTTTTGTTTTAGTGTCAACAGTGGACGTGGATGCAGTACTCGGCCGAACTGCGTCATTACCGTGTGACGTTACACCCGATACAAATGAGGATCGGGTCTACATGGTGCTATGGTTCAGGGCCGGGAAGGCCACCGGAGGAAAGCCTATTTACAGGTAAATATATTTCTAAAATCATATTTCTAATCAGACTGAATTCTGTCACACTAAATGGTAAAGTAACAAGAATCAATATTTGTAATTACTAATAGCTGAACTAATGTAGTATTTATTATATAACTGAAAATTCTATCTATAACTAGTCACTAATAGATGGTCTACCTATTAGTGACTAGTTATAGATAGAATCGGCTTAAAAACAAAATAAACACATATAGAGCTTTTTGTCGAGAGTGGATACAATGAATATCTATACATATAAATTAACAGGCAAACGTAAAAAAGTATGCCTTAATACGACCTAAATTAAAGATATGTCGGACAAAAAACCGTTTAATCTTTATTAAAATACTGCCAGATAAACACATAAATAAACCAAATTAATAGGATTGAAAAAATAATTATCAAAATTCATGTCAAGCGATGTACACAGTGGGACTCGGACGACTCCAATGGTTATTGACAACAACTCGGTTATTTTCTTTCTTCGCTTCTATTAGTCATTATACTTTACTTACATTTATACATATCTACATATACACTTTCGATTATTATGCAATAAAAATCTATTAGAATAACATAACTTTGTTTATCGGAAATATAATCTAAGTAAATAAAAAGTATTATTAATTATTTTATCAATCAAGCACACGCATAAAAAAGATATAAAAAGAGAAAAAATCGCAAACAGAAATATATCGTAATAGGTTACACATACAAAAAAGAACTTTCATCAAAATGAGAAACGATTCGTTTTGGTTTCATAAAATTACTAAAAGCTTAAGAATATAACTTGAACAAAGTACCCCACACACATACCTACCCCATTAATAAGTTGTAGCACTTATCTGCAGTTAATTACAACGGACAGTAGCCTGCAGCGGCAGATAAGCTGAGCTCAAGACATTAATCATTTGACAAATTTATGTGATTCCACCAAGAGATTCATCTATTCGGGATGAAGTATAGTGTTGTATAATATTGTGAAATCTACTTCATAAATTGGTAGTCAATTGCTAAATTACAGGAGTCAGTAGGTAAATTGTAAAACTCAGTTCTCTTACTGATAATGTAAGTAAGCATATAGAAAATAAACATTTATAGATGCATTTTTTTCTAAACTAGTTTAATACAGTTGGCCGTAGCTGACTTTTCACAGTATTACCAAACGAAAATATGTGCGAGTGCAAAATGCGCTTTACATCCGCGGAAGGACTTATGGAACGACTGAACGCCAACTCCTGCCTGACAGATGCAACTTTATGATGAGACCATCTCCAGGGGTCTGAACTTCAGCTCAGGTCATCGTAATTTGGATCCCCGTTTGAATGGGTTAGCTTTGCTTTGTTATATTTAGCTTTTTATTTATATTTATTTTATTATAAAATATATTAAATAATATATGTTTTACTTTTAAAATTGAAGATTCTTTTTAAAAGCCACATATATATTATTAATAATATATATTTAGTTTTTAAATGTTTGTCATGCATCTCCGTACAATCTCCTGTCCCATTCAAACGGGGATTCAAATTACGATAACCTGTGTAATAAATATTATTTTATAGAGTATTTACTTAGATATATTCTTTATTGTAATTTGAAATAATTTTCATTATAAACGGTGTGAGCAGAAAGAAAACCTTTAAAAGATTATTCCTCAACATAGCAATAATAAATCCTAGTTTCCAAAATATACAGCTTCCAATCTTGACAAAGTTTATATAAGATCAATATTAGAGAAGGTTCTATATATATAATAGAGAAATATAATAATGCATAATATAAGAAGAACACTACTTGAGAACCTTTTCCCATTAGGAAATTTTATTGCTTATTTAATCACTACCAGTTTATGTAATATGCAAGATAAAATCATTTTTATTTTTAACAATTCAACAAAAACATTATCCGACAGCAAATAGTTAACCACAAACGTATAACTTTTATGTTCAGGAAAGCCAAGTGGTTTTGCTCGGAGTCGTAAAATTCAAATTTTATTGTTGTTAATATCGAAACGAGGGTTGGCACGCTATCGTAAATAGTTATTTTAAATTCTTGTGTACTTATTTTTTTTATAAACTACATTTATTTATATAATTAGAATGACAAACAAGCGGACAGGCCATATGATAATAATTAGAAACCATCGCCTTTATACACATGGACAAATTCGCAGAAATGATATTGCATTCACAAACAGTAGATGGATTCTGGACCGTGTTAGGCACTTCAAGCAGAAGAGATGAGAGGAGACCAGTTTGTTGTTTTATAATTATAAAATTGTATAGTGCTTTCTCTTTTTCACTCATGCTCAGATGAGCAGGAATAGATTATTCCAGAGGATAAAGATATCTTGCCCCTTGTCCTGTTTCACTGTCTAATCTCACCCTACAACCGAAACACAACGTACATAGCAAAAATCAGTATAAAATAAAATGTAAGTACATAAACAATTTCGCATTAATTAACGCTTCTAGCGTTAACCATTTTGTTCTAACTAATTAATACCAACAAAAGTACATACTTATAAAAGGAGAAATCAATCAGCTACTAAATAAGTACCGAACAGCCATAAAACAAGACATGAATATCTCACGGAAAATATAACAAGCTTAGAGAAGAATAGAGAAATATTTCCCTTTCCTTGGATTTCATTATAATTCTGCGGAAATAAACAAGCTCTAATGTTAAGGTAAATACGGAACGTTGTATCTGTAGATAAAAATGGAGGTTTGATTTACCATATATACTATCCCATATCTAAACATATATCTGTTCAAGCTTCGAGAGATTTCAATCCGTATGCACCTGGGAAATGAGCTCAAAATCGTTGCTACTTCTGTTTGATATGAGTTGAAATATTGGATCGAACGATCGTAAACGTACCTGCTATGTCTTTCATATTTCGTGGGGACCTTAATTATAATAAAATTTACTAATATTATGTAAATAAATATGTATTAGTAAAGTTTAATATTCGGACGTCCTTGTTCATAATGACGTTAAATGTAAATTTTAAATATTGTACTGTTTTTTATTCCTTTATTTACCTTTTCTTTCGTTTATATGTAATATTATGTTAATGTGTGTGATAGTACTAAATTCCGGACGGCCTCAGTAGACTATTTTAGCACACCGCACATGTATTAATAGTCGCGTGTTCAATACCTGCACTATATACACTTGTACTCATGTACATAATTGATTAAATATAATCTTCTTGCCTTCATGGTTTTAGAATAATTTAGAAATACCTAACCCATCACATGCATTGTCATATTTGCCATTTGTGCTAATAAGATATATCAGTTTAGGTGAAGCGATTGGTCGCTATAAAAAAAAATAGAATCAGTCGACATAATAACTTCCACAAGATTTTTACATAAATAAATCAGTTTTCTTGCATAAATAATGAAGAATATGCATCACTGGTAAAAAAAGGAAATGCAAATTATAACTGAACAGAGAATCTGAAATATTTTCATAAAATATTTTTAGCACCTGCGAATAACATTAACATTTCTATGCGGACATATTTCTGAATTAAAATTATAATATTTTATTATTTGGTTTAACTCAATTAAGATTTTCATGATTTTTGTAGTAGGCAGTGATTATTATAGATTGTTACTGACAAAATTATCGTCTATCGCTTTTATTTATGATATATCATAATACAGTCATATATTTTATTATAGGCTTTATTCTAAAATCGTATGTATCCAGATGAAACAACCAATAAAGATAAACTAGAAAATAAACAGATTATTAACTTTATATAGAGCCCTTTACTAAATTATTAAACATAATAGTTTTATATTTTAGATTAAATTTTTATAGTAAATTTTATATTACATCATATTATTTATGTCTATATCATCGTCGTAGTATCATCTAGTTTAATAAATATTCACAAACAATTAACAAGGGTTAGTAATAAATTTAAGGCCAAATATTCTTTCGCCTACTTACCCTATACATACTCGAATATACACTCTGTTTAATTTAGGCAAATAACAATTCCGTATCTGCGTATTAGTTTATGTTAACTGTGAACATAGATACATGTACAAGCACAATCTCATCCCTATCTAAGCAACAAGGGAGCAACAAATCATGCTCCAACTAGCCACACATAGCGAAGTAAACTAGGTAACATGCTTACGTAGCACTCTGGCTATCGCATCATTAATCACCCGTCGTCGTTTGCCCCTATTATTAGGGTGCTGACGGCTTTTAAATATCTACACACCAGCACACAATTTACTGACCACGCATTTCGTAAAGACGATTGCGGATATCAGTTTATTGTGGTTTATCATCATCATCACCAAGTTTTATTCATCCATGTCCAGTGAACGTAGATCTCTTATAAATTATATAAAGTATTTAACTCGCGAAACTTCATCTGCATCACATGCTCTGCCTCTATTAATCCTATAGTGATGTTAGCATTTAGCATTCATCGATAAATAGGCTCTCCAGCACCAATATTTTTAAATTCAACCCATGTGTACCGGAGATTAGCAAGTTCATCTAAATAAACTCTTCAGCTTTAAAGTATTAGTACAAATTAGTTCTGATCTACTTGCATCAATTTACACTATGCGAAATATTTAACGTTATCGCTCTATTTAGTGTTAAGGCGCCCATATCACATTTGCTTGTTGCTGCATTGAAACCTTTCATACCAAGGAAGGTGTAAAAAATATTCTTACTCACTAGTGGACAAACTTTAGAAGGAACTAGTGAAGAAGTGAAAATAAGAATAGATTCTCTCAATTCCATTTATCATTATATGGCAAATACCAGCCAGGACGTTTTTTACGTTTACAAATGTTTTTGGATAGATCTTTTTGGTAAAGTTGGTGCTTCAAGATCAAAATCTGGTCAGTTGTTGTTATGTAATACGTATTTTTCGTGACCTCAACATTGTACTGCCAACGTTATGTATTATAAATAAAACTTTATATTTTTATTCAATTTTTGCTACACGCAACGACTCTGTCAGCTTTTAGCAAAACCATTTCCAAAGTAATTCGATATAGAAACCTTCAAAAACGTGTATATACATATACCTTACTGAAAGGTTGGCAACGTACCTGTAAAAATATCTTACAATATTGCTATTATAGGAAATAACACTAACATTTTCGCCCAAAAAAGCTATTTATAATGAAAAAAATTTAAGAATATGTGTCCATTTATTTACTTATATATTTTTATCTCTATCTTGTTTATTTTTATCATCGTTGCACGTAATAAAATCGTAAAATCGTGAACAAGATCAGACAAAAACTGTCTGTTTATCTGTACCTGTGTAACTATTAGTGTGTTAAGGTTTCATGTAAAAACAAGTGGAAAAATGAATATAATATTTTCACAGAATGTGTTAATAAATATTGGTCAACGTATTGGCTAAAGGAATTTGTAAATAAATGTATATTGGACTCTATTTTCCCCATTTAGCCTCTCGTCGTGATTGAGAATAAATAGTATATATATAGTTCATAATTAAAATAACAGATCTACAAATCAAATATATAGATAGCGATCTACAAATCTACACGGGTTCAAAGTTACGAGCACTACTACTCATACATAAAATATAATTTCAGCATAACAATACCAAGTAAACTGTAAGAATATGGCGTTGAAAAAAAAAAGAAATGCTAAAATGTAATCACGAATTAATGCATTCCATTAATATTTATCGCAATAAAATGCAAATTTATTTACATAGCTTATTGCAGCAATATAAAATTGTTGAGTATTTTATGTTACTATAATAATATGTATTAGAAATTCGTCTAGGCATAACGAATACAGTTTGTACCACTAATTTTTTTTTTAATTATGCAATATTTTTTTCTCTATTATTTTTTTAGTTTAGTAAATGATTTTTTATGGAACTGAAATAGCAAACAATAGCCTACATGTTAATACGAACTTTCTGTTGCCTAACATATATACATAAAGACAACATCTAGTACTCCTCATGATTTGCCATTCCGAAGCATTACGATGTTAAATCTCCGTACCACGTAATTTCACTGTATTTCAACCTCCAACCGAAACATAGATTAGAAAGAAACTGCTGTACGGCTGGCTGAAATGGAAGAGCTCTGTCTCACATATAGTAGAAGTTTACTTCTAAATAATTCCTTACATTTGTAATTAACAATTTCCTTTAGAAAACCTCTCACGACACATATATTTTAGCAGTTCATGTAAGTATTATCTATCGAATAATAAAAAGTATTATCTATCCAGATATCATTGCCTCTTATATGTACGTAGACATTAAAAGCCAAATTGTGATTTCCACCAGATTCAAATCACAAAATAAAATTCCGTCTCCCATTGCGTTCACTCTCAGTAGTGAACTGTAATCCTATTTTTATTGCTACAAACATTTCATATAGCAGATAATATTTCCTATATACCTACATTGTTATCTGAGGGTGAATTATGATTGTGATATTAAAAGTTACATGGATTACCAATGTACATTAGGTATTTACTCTGCAATAAATTAACTAAAGTAATTACATGTTACAGAAATTTCAACAAAATCAACAAACTGAGACAATAATAAGTAAATTGCTAACGCATAAAACACAAAGAGGGGTGAGCCATGTTTACGGGTGCTAGGTATTTTTACGGGTTCCGTTCAGTAAACTACCAAATACTGAAGAACCAATAAAATCGGATAAACTGCCGAATCTGTGATTTTATTGCCGGGACTTTGGTATGAAATCTCTTTGTTTAATAAACGTATTCTTAGCGATTTTATAATATAAAGTCGCAACTTTTAATGCGGCTATAAATTACCGCAGAAATGAGAAAGCCCATTTTATTACGGTTTCTCGTAGCCGAACAAAAATACATTGTAATAAAATTATCTAACAATATTTATCAAAAGAACACTTCTTGTATTTTATATGTTGCGAACAAATCGTATAATTGATTAGGTATTTCAGAAAGTTATCTATATATATTTTTTTATGTAATCTGAATCGTGACAATAAGATGACCCACCGTATGTTAAATGTTATACGTAAAGCTGTTACCATTCACGACATCCATTATGCCGCTCATGTTTTGCTATTTTCGATGACTAAGGCTGGATTTTACCAATCGCAATATAAACAAGTTCAGCGTAAAGTCGAAAAAAAGATTAGCGAAAGAGTTTAGCGAAAACTAGTTCGGTGAAATGCAAAATTAAGCTTTGAACAGGTTTAAACTTTTTAATCGAGTTGAGTTCGAACTAAACACGATTATTTTTCTTCGGTGAAATCCAGCTTAAGACGTTATGCCCTTTAATCCTATAATTTCACTTTTCTTACCATGCAACGAAAACAGCTTACTAATATGACATTCAATATGATCGCAAAATTTGAATATTCAGTTCAGAGATTCAATTTACTATTATAATCAAACAATTAAGCTAAATAAAAATTCTTGATTCTATTGTTATTAGCGTTTTAATTTACAATTTAAAAATAAAATTGGGTCAATCATATAGTCCATATGTTTTGTTTATTTGATTTTCTGGTCTTTTTCTACTTGATTATTCAGTATATCTAACCTGCTGCTAAAAAGTTCAAATCTAAATATGTATAAATTGAAAGATAATTTCTACATTGCCATAATAAATATAATTAACGTAGGTCCCTCTCTTATTAAATTACATTAATGTAACGTTTCATAAATTAATATTTTCCTTCCCATCCCTTAACGAGAAGTGATTAGCGGAACAGGGCAAAAAATATATCAAAGAAAAACAAGACTTTCAGAATAATATGGTCCTTCATTTCATATAAAAAAAATAGTTACGTAAAAGTATTGTGTATTTAGTACAAAATGCATAGCATACTATGCTAGAAATTTGAAATATAATTTACTGCGACAAGGTTTGCGCTGAAAAACGGTTCTGCAACAATGCCACACCAACATGTTGAGTGCAGACCTCGACTGAACATTATACCGCACATGCACTTGCACGTACTTATTACTACTAGAATTTCTAGTATAGGTATACTGAATTGAGATATTTCCCGACTTAGGTTAATGTACTTTTAAGTTAATTTTCAATCACATACCAAAAAGCTATTCTGTTTCAACTTACTTATTTTATGCGACAGATATGTGTAATATATGTCCAGTTTCCTAAATTTTGGTTACCACCTTTGTTATTTGATTGGTAGTAGGTATTACTTTTTAAAGTGGCCCTAACTACATCTCCATCAATATGGTTCGATATATCCTTTAACAATTATTCATTAATATTTTAATAATTTCATATTATTCTTATACGTATTTTTTTTAAATTAGCTGAAGGTACAATATTTTTTCAATCATTTGGCACAACTCATTTTGATTCATTATACTACACATTCGACACTTCAGTATTCCTTAAAAGTTTAAATTAGGTAATAAAGTACGACATATACTTTTTTGTGTATATTTGCTGCTATAAATATTTTTTTCTACTTGTTTCTCAGCTTCGACGTACGGGGGCGGTCGTTCAACAAAGCGCTGCAGTGGTCAGATCCAAACGCATTTGGCCCGAGGGCGTACTTTGCGACCGTTGCCCGTCCAGCGTCCCTGATGCTGGATACCGTACAGTTAGACGATGAAGGCGTCTATAGATGTCGTGTGGATTTCAAGAACTCACCAACAAGAAATTTTCAAATACGACTTGCTGTCATTGGTAAGTGAAATCTGTAATTTCTGTATAGCTATAGAGTATTATTATTACATACATTATATACTTGTATACAAATATATAATGTATGTACATAGGCATATAGGCTGAATTGCTAGCAATAATTTGAGAACAAACTTCTCATATCCATATAGTTATGCATATGGTGTAAATTCTCCATGGATGGAGGGATTGTTACTACTTGAAATTAACCTGACATGGTACAATTACCATATGGAGTAGACCATGCGGTTCCCCTGGAAAATATCGCTTTTAATTTCTGATAAATTTATTATTAAGCTGACTTCACTTTCATCCTTTCATTTTTTACTAGTATACAGTTAGAGCACACGTGTTTAATATTCCATCATCCATAGAATAACACTTCAAATTGAATAATAAATAAATGTTATGCAGGAAGACAATAGTAGTAGGCATAACAGAGTTAATTGTGGCTTAATATTCTCCTCGTATGAGGTGATTTGTGTACTTCGCACCACTATGCTGTGGCGTGTTAATGGGTTGTTGTGATACGGTCGTGTAGTACAAAACATGTAACTTGTAATAAACAAAGCATAGTGAATTCAAAGCGGAATCTGACTAGACTCCAGTAACACGTAGACAGGTGCCTGTCAGATTTCACGCTAACGAGCTAAGTACCTACCTACTCGGAACCTAGTATATCAAATAACACCTAGAAGTGACATGATTGTACATAATTCTGTCATTTTGCTACAATCTAAATTAATTATGTACATATTATTAGATATAGCATAATTATGACTAATTATTTGACGTGGCTCCCAAGAAAAGCTGTCTCACTTTTTTTTATGTATTCGAAGATACCAAATACAGCTGTGATATATTATAAATTGAAACTATTTATATATGTATATATACAGTAATCCTTACTATTATCTTTAATACGAAAGTAAATCTGTATTTTTAAATGTAACTAACATTTAAACCTGTCCAAGATTAAACAGCTAAACATATCTTAATGAAGTTAATACGAAGATAGTTTATATCACGAACCTATATTTTATATGAAATAAAAAGCAGACGAAATCGCATGTAACAGATAGTTTCATATAGAAAAAGATTTCATTTCATATAGACAAGGACAGAAAATATTTCTTTCTTTTTAATTAAAACTTGTTTAGGTAGCTATCCGAAACAATATTTTATGCTTGAAAGGTCTACAATCAGGGACAAAAAAGTTCTTTTTTTATCACTGTGGACATTTTTATTATATTCTTCATTTTTCATTTTATGCTTGAAGGAGAAATATTAGCAACACAAAGATGACAAAATACAATTGAATTTCATTAATGAGAGTTTGATATAAGCTGACATTAGATAATCTCTGCGTTGCCATATTATAAAGATATATATGACTGATATTGTGAAAATGCGCATGTTTCGATTAGAAATAAGGTAGTATTAATTAATAGTATATGGGCTTCGGTGTCTTGAGTAAATTGGTTAAATTATTAAAATAACCTAAATTTAAATAAGTATTTGCTTTTTAACTATAAAAAATTATCCCCTTTGTGATACAATATATCATAGGTCCAAATTTCAATAAGATACGTTCAGTCACAAAAATCATGAAAAGGTATCAAACAAACAGAATTTAGCATTTACAGTATTAGGTATGAATTTAGTTTCCATGGCCGCACAGTGCACAATGTACGATGCAGTTTGGCAGAGAATTCAGTGGTCCTAAAACTTCCGCGACGCGCTCTCAAATATGTTTATAAAAAAGAATTAAAAGTGAATCATTGTAATGAAATTCCTTATATCCAAAATACAATTACCATAGCTAACGAGGAGAGCAGTAGCAAATAACTCGGCAAAACGCCGACCCGAACTAGAATGGGAATTGCACCATCTGCTCGCATTCCCACAACGAAAAACTTTAGCGCAGAATGTCTGCTCTATGCTGAAAATTTATAAGAGAACCTTATCTAAAAAGCCAGCCTTTCAGCGGCTTTTCGAGCGAGCGATGCAAAACAAAGCTTTGTTAGAACTCCTTTGAATTTCGGTAAGGAAAATGAGAGGTTACACACGACCCTAGTCGACGTCAAAGAAGCCTCGGAGTGCTGTTATTACAATAATGTACAGCGATATCGCGTTTGGAGTACGCTTTTCATAGCGAACTCTCAATGGTGACTGCTAAACACATTACACCCGATAACGTCTTTCTTTCTTTCTTCTCATGATGTTGACAATTCTTATTATCCTATATATTACATTAGCGATTCGCCCTTACATTCCAGGTCTTATACTATATGTAGTTATAAATATTCCAGAACAAATCTTTAAATTACAGCGAAAACCATTTTAAAAACCGTTACGTTTAAAAGAGGTAAACACAGAAACAGACGATGAAATCAAACTTTTTTTAATATTTTAGATGATTTAGGTTTAGTGTTGATATGTTTATTTTAAGTTGTAACAAATTCTTTCACAATACTTTATAACCTAACCTTTTTTATAACAAGGTAGGGCTAGTCTTCAGTCTCACCTATTTCAGCCTCCAAGAAGCTTGCTTTGTAAGTTGTATTTCGGATGAACCTCAAGTCGTTATCTTCATTCCTGAGGGTCGTGATAGCCTCGCAAAATTACCTTTTCTCTGATTATACCCATCCATCCCTGTTGGTCTTTTGCATAACGGAGGGCATTATTGAACGTGGTATACAACGATGAGCGAATTTGGTCCACCTTGCCAGTCTCTATCAACTGCTCCAGGTTATGACCTTCTTTCCGAGCGATGTGACTAAAGAACTCTAATATTCTATGGACACATGTGGACCATTTACATAGGGATAACAACATAGTCCTTTAGATTGACAATGCATGAGTGCTATCACAGATGTCACATGATAAAGTGATGTCGTGGTTCTGTTCATGTATAAGGGCGATGATTATCACTTACCACCATTTGCGTAGTCAACTTGTTTGTCATTTCAGTTTCTTAAAAAAACGTAGCAGCTACTATCTTAATTAATCTACCAACATCCTTAACTTTTGAAAACTATTGATTTAGTTATTTAAAACTTCATACATATAGTACAAAACGCGCCGTAAATATTATATTCCTAACGATTGAAATACTACAAAAGGCTGTTAAGAAATTACCATGTTAATAGGAGAAAACGAGCCTTGTAGAAACAAAGCTGGCTTGCTTCTTAACATCTATAGGGGTATCCAAATATACTCGTATATACGAATTGAATTTATACTTATATTAGTTAATTTTGCATTTTTTTATTAGTAATAGAAATAAGTCCCTAAATCAAATATATCATATGCGCAAATATCCCGAATGGTGCAAATACCGCTTACGTATTCAATAGAATGTAACTATTTTTCATTAATTTTTAAACCCAAATCCCGTCGTCCCACACATTTTAATTAGTAACACAATAAATTGCTCGTTGTCCAACCTTGACTTAACCTATGTTTGTTGAATACTTCGCTCAAGCTATCATTTTTCTTTTTCATTCAATATTGACCTCGACTTTCAGGACCATAAATCAACAGTCTATTCGCAGAGATAACGAACAAACTCTTTAGCGGGGTTTGTAGAACTTCATTGGAAACTTTTGATAAAATAATTTATCTAATAAATTCTCAAAGGAAAGGTTCTGAAACGCTAATATGCTATATAAGCATTGAAATACCTGGAAGTTAAAATTATACGCCTTAAGAGTTAAATAATCTATCTATGGCAAAGTTATCGAAACTTTGTTTTGCAGAAAAGCTAAAAATGATGAGAATCTGTGTATTGAAAACAAAATAAATAATCGCTAATGTATTGAGATTTTTCCCTAGAGACGATAGCACGGGAAAGATTAGCTAGACGCACATGACGTCTTGGAATTCCAGGGATCCATAGGCTGTTACTCTTCACAGTCGGATTAGCCGTAAACTTGTTTGCCATAAAAATTACGGGGAGAACTGCATAATGCTATATTTGTTTAATGGATACTATTTAGTAGAGTAATGAATGTCTACTATTTTAAATATAAACTTATATGTGAATAAAAATATCCTTCTTTCCCATCTTCTTAATCGGTAGAAAAACTGAAAGTAATGATTAGCTGAGAATGTTTGGAGAACAAAATGATTGTTTGTTTTATTTATTATAAAGTAAAAATGTGAAAGGATGTAATGTACAATGTATTAGTACCTACTTTCTCATATTTTCTGTTAAATATGTAGAATAAAGATTATAATTTTAATATTTGGTTAATTTTATAAGTAAAATAGGATACTGAAGTTATTTCATTAGCTCCACTAGTGTGCTTCACTGGTACCCGGAGTTACTTCGCCCACAATTTATTATGCTCCCCTTATCTACATATGTTCGCGGAATTTTAAATTGTAAACGAGCCTCACTTAAAACCACTGCGGTATCTGAATACGGTACAGTACACATACACAGTTTATTTTGGAATACAAATATGTGGTTAAATTCTATGTACGATAAAATTTGCATATTAATTTACTATACCATAATAAACCGATAAATGGCAGTATTGGCTTCTAGTCCTTCCCCATCAATGCAGTGATGTCTAATGCAGACTAGGTGTGGGGTTTTATAGCGTGTTTTCTATGATATATTATGATTATTTTTCTATAATTAGATATATAATAATTTTCAGATGGCATAATCAGAAAAATTATCACATTACAGTTGAGGTAAACATTTCGTGTAACATCGGAATGTATAAGTATATATGTACTGCAATAATGAAAAATACGGAGCAAAACGTCAGAATTAAAATACAAAACTTTTATATTTTTAGAGACCATAATGTGATATATTATATCTCATTATATCTTATCTATTAATATGATAAGCTGGTAATAACTGGAATAATCCTAAACTTAAACTTTAATATATATAGTTATAATTCTTTATATAATCTAATAGAAAGAGCGAGAAGCTGAGTATTTTGGCTGCTCTTTTTGGCTTGAAATTACTTTCAGACCTG